TAATCGTTAAACTTTTGGATCGATTAAAATTATTTTGATGGAAAATGAAAGGACTCACCTCTCCGCCGGCTTTCGGGAGTCCCATCGGAGATCCGGTGACGTCGATGTCCGTGACGTCACCGGACTCCTCCCCCCCCCCCTTTCCTTCGTTAGCCGACAGAGCCACGTGGGCCGGTGAGTTTGCCCAAGAAGCACCAAGCTTTGAAATTTACTGATATTATGTTGCAATCGGGTCCTTACATGAAATGGAATGGACAGGTGCTGTTACTCCAAATATTAAGCTAATACTTATGTTTAAATCGCCCTTAGGCCTTGTTCACACCAAGCGCGGAGCAGGTGCAGAGCAGTTGCAGACCGGATCAAAACTGCGTCCAATGTATTCCAATGGTATTTTTTGCTCCAGTTCACATCGCAGCATGCAGTTCCAGAGCAGGTGAAAAAACTGCGGCAGGCCCCATTTTACCTGCTCTGGATCTGCAAACGCATCAAAAATGCATGCAAATGCAGAGAGAGAGAGACTGACTCTCTCACATCTCACCGTGTTTCCCTTGAAAATAAGACACTGTCTTTATATTTTTTTGCCTCAAAAAAAACACACTAGGTCTTATTTTCGGGGTAGGTCTTATTTTATTTTTTTAATGTACAACAATCCACACTTATTAATGTACAAAAATATGGTGATCAGGGGTGCCGTACCTTTCCAAGAGCAATTTGCTAACCAATCGCTGGCCAGAATGAACGAAGCGCACTTTCACTATGGATTCCTCACAGGCGGAGTGCAGTTGGCATCACTCCGCCTGTGACAGGAGCCGGCGCTATAGAGGAGGCATCTGCTTATGCGGCTCTGCTCCCTCCGCTGCCGACTCGCTTCCTCTAGCGCTGACTTCTCTCCCACGGCTCTTCAAGTTCCTTCTTATGCCACCACCGGCCCTGGGAATGGTCACAACTAGGTCTTATATTCGGGGTAGGTCTTATATTTTAGCAATTCCCCATTATAGTACTAGGTCTTATTTTTTGGGTAGGTCTTATTTTTGGGGAACAGGCTATATATTATGCTTTGGCTATTTCTCTCCTGACCAGTTTACTTTTAGACGGGGCTGGACAAATCCCAGGAGCCAGGTAGCCAATGCTCCTTAAAAATTACAGCTGGCGCCCAACGTTTCAGGTTTTCGGTAGGTTGTCAGTGGAGCTGGCTCCTTGATTCCATATTTGTCCACCCTGTTTAAGACCACTTGTTTTGTTGATTGTTAACTGTTGGTGTCTAAATAAAGCTGGCCTCACGGGAGGTTGGATGGTTAACTGGCTGTTGAGCTTTGACTTTCCTAGGACCTGACCTGTGTACTCTGACACTGTTTGCACACAATGTGCGTTCTCTCAGTCCAGAGTGAGGCAATATTTATACATGGTTTTTGTTTACTTTATCCTCAATGTGCTTCTTTTAGTTCTCAGCAGAAGCAAAGATTTCTGTAGTTGAATCTGCTAAAGTTTGCCCTGAACAGATTTCAGGCCATTTGAGTCCATATGTGTCCGGTGGACCGTTAATTCATCTATGAGTGATTCTGTTCTGTTACTTTTACAAAAAGGAATGTATCCATCACCCTTCAGGTGACCACATAGAATCAGTTTTGGTGGAATGGGCTTGGGACCCTGCTGGGATGGAATGGGCTTGGGACCCTGCTGGGGTGGAATGGGCTTGGGACTTTGCTGGGGTAGAATCGGCTTGGGTCCCATCTACACAATGACGGCATACACAAATGCATGACTGTTAATGCATGTAAAAACGCACATGGAAAGGTGTAAATCTTCCTCAGGTCAGTGATTCCTAGGTAGTGAGCAAGGATAAGGTTGATTGACCCAAAGCCTGCACCTTTAAAGCGGCGGCTCTCATATTTACACTCTCGTGGGCATTTTAAGGCTTAAAAAATCGTTGCAATGCAACCTAACAGTCTAATGTTTAGAATGGAGGTTGCATGTCACGTGAGCGTCGTTCTAACAGCATTGCAGCCCCATTCAAATTAGATTTTGGATAGTGTAGTGAATAGTTAAACTTTCCTTCACGTTCTTATTTTGTTCTTACCCTATTGAGGAACTTCTTCACATCCTGACCCTGTGACACCTGTACAAGAAATTGAGGAAAGAAAGGCACAGACAATAATACAAAATATAAAAATAAAACATGGATTGAGGGTTTAATTTTTGTCTCAATTGTGCAAATTTCTTTTACTATGTGCTTTACATTTACAAGGTTCTTGCACTTGTTGTTTGGATAAGACATGGGACTTTATTAGCTGATTTCCCCTTTTTATGGAGGACTTTACTACACACCATTTCTGTTTTATACCGCATGACCACATTGTACTTCTTCTAATAAAAGCTTTGGTCTTTTCTTGGGAAAACAAAAGTGTTGTCCATGTGTTCTTTTACCACAACCTTTTTCTAGATCATCGGAACTTTAGGTCCTTACCAAGGCTGATGATCCTAAGCATTTACTATCTGAAGAGTATGGGGGGGGGGCTGGGGTTATAAAGAGAGAATCAGTTTCTACATAATTTCGCTGTGCTTATTATTATTGGCATGACATTGGGACATAGACATTAGACATGGACTGAACACTAGCTTCTCTTCCAACACCCTCACGTTCTATTGAGGAAAATGTAATTGGTTATCTGTCTTTCAGCATCCCTTTGTTTCATGGAACAGGGTTTTGCTTTTTAAAGTGACACTAAACTCCAGGGCGTTAAATCCTACAAATGCATTCAAGCACCTAAAAGGAGAACTTTGAGGTGAGTGATTTTCACTCATCCTCATAGTTGGAGCCGACGTGTGACAATGAAACTGTCACACTCTATAGATCAGGAAGTGAGCGAACACATACAGACGCTCGCTCACTTTCCGATCATCTCCCTGCAGAGAGCGGTGACTGACGGTCACAGCTCCCCGAAGGGATTCCTCCCCGAACCTCCAGCGTTGATGGTGGAACGGTCGGGGAAGTGGGCGGGTACAGCTGGCTCTGCCTCTGGATAGGCAGAGCCCCCTGTCAATCGGCCAGCTGGGTGGATCTTGGCAGTATTGTCTGGATCGGTCCCGGCTGCAGCAATCTCGGTATATAGCAAGCTATATACTGAGCTTTGGGTCACGGGAGGACATTAGAATATGTCCTCCCGTGACTCTTAAGAGAACTATGGGATAAAAAGGTTACCTCATAGTTCTCGTTTAACTGCAAACAAAAATGTATGTTATTTGTGTATCACTCGGCTGTAGATCCTCCAATCATCTCTGAATAGGTGCCAACGCTATCCTTCCTTCTGGAGGGTGGCTACTTTTGTTCCCCATGGTCCCTGTGTGTGTTGTAAAGTAGTCACCGCTGCAAGCTCACTCCCGTGATAAGACTACAATCTCTTGCTTAGTTTACTTACTTGAATCAAGATTGTAGTCCATCATGGGAGCGTTCTTGGAGCGGTGATTACTTTACAACACACACAGGGACCATGGGGAATAAAAGTAGTCACTCTCCAGAAGGAAGGACAGTGTCAGCACCAATTCAGAGATGATTTGAGGATCTACAGCCAAGTGATACACAAATAAGGTCCAGTATTGATAATTAAGGTGCTTGAATGCTTTTTTTTTTTTTTTATGATTTAACTCCCTAGTTTGGTGTCACTTTACCTAGAGGAGAACTCATTAAAGTGACCCTGTCATTAAAAAAAAAATGGATTGGCTGTTGCCTGTATTAGTAGAGCCCTTTATCCATTTGTGGCTCATGTCTCCTACTGCCCCTCTGTTCCTTTGCTGCAGCTTCTAGCAGTCTTCATCATTCTACACTTCCCAGGGATTCAGATGTCTCTAAATGTCCTCTGCATCCTCCATGGTCAGTTTACAGAAAATACAATTGGCTAGCCAGCAGGTAAGAGTATTTAGGAACTAGAGACTTAAAGTTTCTTCTACCAGAAAACTCTACCTTCCAAATTGAATTCTGCTTCAAAGCACCCTGAATTCTAGATATAGACCTATTTATAACCAGAATGGACCAGACTTGGGGGTAGAAACTAAGTGCTTCCAACTGTCGGAACCATTCACCGCTTACAGAGTTTCCAACTTGCAGCCCAGCCAGTCCTGCCAAGGAAAGGAGACATATACAACACTCTAGTCCATTGGTCAAGCTTCTTGAGAGCCAATGCTAGATCCTGGTTCCGCCCAGAATACGATGTCTGCCTGCTGTACTCACAAAGATGTCTGCCTGCTATGGATAGAGTTCAACATCACTAGAGACTTTGAGTCTAAGCAGATAGTAACGTTCTGTTTCTTGTATTGGATGTATAATGATTTTTTTTATTTATTTGATTAGCAGGAATATATTTATGAACTGTAATGTGCTTTTGAGTTTCACTGGAAAGAGTAGAATGTAAATGTTCTCAGAGTTATATAACGATGAACTTTATGGGATTCTTGTAATAGTGATTGGGTGCACAGTCAATGTTCTATTATGCAGTGATGTTGTAATCATTTGGCTGGAAATGTGTCATTTTTCTGTGAACTGAATATGTAGACAAATTGTACATCCTGTGTCCTGATGCGACACTGGTCTTGATTGCGATTATATGATCATGTTGAGAGACTAGTTATGTATTAAGGATAGTTTAATGCAGAATCATGTTTGCATTGATACATTCATAATGTATTGTGTTTTTTGCAGATGTGCTACGTGCACCCTATCTGTTCTTTCTGTCTCACACAGGAGGAGTGCTGTGTGTATGCTCTGTGCTTCCCTCCTGTCTCTTCTCTCGCGGGAGGAGTGCTGTGTGTATGCTCTGTGCTCCCCTCCTGTCTCTTCTCTCGCAGGAGGAGTGCTGTGTGTATGCTCTGTGCTAAACGTTCTTACCGCAAATCGCGGTGGTAAAACGCGCGACAGACGCGCATATGCAATACGCCTAGGTGTGAACGAGACCGAAGAGTGTTGTGTGTATGCTCTGTGTGCTCACCTTCTCTTCTGTCTCAAACAGGAAAATTGCGGATGTCCCAGTTATGAGGTTTGATAAGAGCCTGGAGGAATTCTATGCCCTGTGTGACCAGCTGGAGCTCTGTTTGGTGAGTGTCCCCACACTTTTATAATGACAGAATGCTAGTAGATGGTTTTTAGTATGCAAGCTGAAGAAGGAAAGTAGCATTTCCATGAAGGAATCAACAATGGCAGCCTACATATTTCTATCAGCACACAAGTCCTTGAGGGCAAACCTGTTTCTTGAATAAAGTTATCCAAGGAACAGGAGAAGCTACAATCATACAAAGATGCATAGATTTCATTCTGGGCTGGGAGTTTATTGTGAGCCCAGAGCGGACAGGATGCAATAGGAAACCTAATCCAAGTGACTGGCGTACTTTTATATTGGACGCTTTCCAACACCACTCTTCCTCCACCCACTCTTCCCCAGCGCCTCTTCGGTCTACAGTGTGCTCTGGTAGTGATCACGGCCTTCCAATGAAAATGACATCATTCATGGCCAACCCAGGATCCTATCTCAGGCACGCTTCTAGGTCACAACCCTACATTCAGCTAATTCCACAGAAAAGACTGTCAGCTTTATGTGCTTCCTGACCTGTTGGCTTTCAGTCACTTGGAAATATGTTTTAGTTCCTAGCACAGGATTTGTCTAGTGACCGGGAGCCACGCAGCCTTTCCACAGAAACTTGAATTCCGAGCAATCGGCATTATATAAGCGACTGTCACTAACAGCAATTCATACGTTCTTTGCACGCAGTGCTGCTTCGGAAGTGGTCATGCATAGAGCTGCAGCTAACGATTATTTTCAAAATCGATTAGTTACCCGATTATTAAGTTCGATTAATCGAATAAAAAAATTTAAAAATAAAATACATTTTAAAAAATGGCTCCAGTGAACATGCAACCTTTTTCAGGATTTCAGGATTCTGTAACACTTTAAATTTTTTCTTTTCAAGCAAACAGTGTAATTCTACTTTTATCATTTTCTTGCATTCTGCTGTACAGCAGAGCTTAGACCATGAGAGGGGAAAGGACCACAAGTTGGTATTTGTGCTCATGTGCTAGTAAGGAGCATGCCAATAGGAGGAAAAGCAGAGTGACGGATGAAGTTAAGTGTTTTGTTGGGGGAGGGACAAGACTTGTAAGTGTTGCTTACAAGAGAAAAATCAAGTCTCCCGCCCTGCCGGAGAAGGCTGTGCTGTGTAGCATTGCTGGGTAAGTATCGGATGTGAAGGAACTGACGTCTAAATCCCTTGGCTGTTAAAACGGCTCCCATATACATCATGTACTTAAAGGGTTATTAAACCCTCGCATGTTTTTGCTAGAAAGCAGTAGATATATGCAAAATGATTAAAAACAAAAACTTTTTCAAGGGTTAATACTTACCTATGTCTCCACCGCGCGCTCCCGTCCGAACATCTGAAAATTTCTCGCAATTCAGATGTTTGGCCGGGAGACGAGGTGAGTCTATCTTTACAGAGCAACTTCACCCGGCTATGGAAATACAAGTCAGCAGCTACATGTACTATAGCCACTGACACCTACAATTAGAGGTGCACTGAAATGGAAATTTCAAAACCGAAATAAAAAAAATTGTCAAGCTGAAACCCGAAAACTTTTTTTTTTTTCTTTCATTTCGGTGCACCTCCTATATTTTTGTGTAAGATGTAATAAAGCTGTAATCTTCACCTACTTCTGTGCTATATCTTGCCTTTCTGATAGCATAAAAGCCCTCATCGTTGCTGCATTATTATACTGACATATAAAAATCCCAAAACATACCAGCCCATGAAGTCCTGCGCTGTCGATTTCTTCGCTGGTCTTCTGCTCTTCCATTCCGCCATCTTGCGTTCGGGAGCCAACTGGCACTTACTGGTCACTTACACCCGGCCCCCTTACTGCACATGTGTGAGATTATGAACTGCAAGGAGACAAGCCTCCTAGGATGTGTAATGTGTATCCCAAGACTGCAGGCGGGAAGATCACTTGATACGTTCAGCGTCCGCTTACAGCTTTATTTCTGAATTCTGTCACATAGTCAAAAGTAGCACTTAATCAGTTGACCTGGTCGAGCGCTTACATGTTCGGAGCAATAAAAGAAGTTGCAAATGCAGTGATCTGTTCATTGCAAATCTATGCAAAAATCTTTCAGATGGGTTTCCTGATATAAAGGCACAGAGGTGGCGAATTCAAAGAAAAGCTTGGTGAATCTTTCATTATAACTCGGCTGTATTTGTGCTGGATTCATGCCAGATTCACTCTGCACCTGCCTTTCTAATCTCCCCCTAGGGTAGAGAACATATTTTTTTTGGGCAGTTCATGTGCAGCTGACTGTGACTGTCTGGAAGTTCTGGGAGGGCCTGTATTACAAGGGGCCCAGTGATTCTTTAAATGGAGTACAGTCATGCAGTGAGATGGGTCGAAACAGACACTGAGCACAGGAACATATTGGTTAGAACAAAGTTAACACTGGGGTCCTCCATTCAATTCCCAGCCAGGACATGGAGCTTGCATGTTCTCCCTGTGCTTGGGCAGGTTTCCTTCAGGTATTCCATAGACATACTGGTAGGTTAATTGACTCCTGAAATAAATAATTGGCCCTAGTAAAAATATTCTACTGAGTGTGCCCACGATGGCTACCTTACCTCCAATCTACCCCATTATTTAATCTTATGTACGGTTATTTCCACATTGTTGTGTGGCTTCAGTGCAAAATATGGAAACTGCATACCATGCCGAGTAGGACTTATAGAGCAGCGAGACTGTACGACCTCTGAGGTTATGCTGGTGTGGACCAAGAGGAACCAACAATCGATTCTAAACCCAGTCAGTAAAATGCAACATTCTAATGTCCATTTTAAAAAGTTTTTTTTAGGCTTTTAGATTTGTAGCTTTTACTAAGGCTCACATGAGTCTCACTATTGCCTGCAGATGATTGCACCAGGACACAGTCTGTATCCAGGTACGGTCGTCTGCCGGAAATCGCAGCATGTGCAATTACATGTGAATGGCTGCAGGCAGTGCTAGCTGTCATTGTACGGTACAGCACCTCCTGTACACAGCTGATAGTATGAGGCTCATATGATCACCCACATTCACAAGTGTGAATGGGGCCTCAAAAAATACCTGGTGGTCCTGCAATTAAGGTCATTGTTCAGCCACTTGTTATGATGTGACAACTTTCTCCCATATGTGCTTCTGTGTTGTCCCCTTTTTACATGCTTCCCTGATGGAGACTACAAGCATATGACACAACATACATGGTGCAGGCATTGTCCTCCTTTCTCTCGATCAGGAAGCCAATCCAGTGGATTTGTGAGTGAATGCATGTAGACAGAAAGTGGATATAAAAGGCTGAAGGAGATCAGCTGTACTCGGATGCTAAAATGATGAAAAAATGGGAAAAGCAGTGGATGTAAAATGACCGTTTATGATGCACAGTGGTTTAACAAACTAAATTGTCATCCAATTTGGGCTTGGGTCTCCTATCTATAATCAGCCATAACGTTATGGCCACTGAGAGGTGAAGTGATTAGCACTGATTATCTGGTTACAATGGCACCTGGAAGTGGTTGGGATATATAATGCAGCAAGTGAACATTTTGTTCCTGAAGTTGGAAGCAGAAAGAATGGGCAAGCGTAAGGAGTGACTGACAAGAGCCAAATTGTGATGTCTAGATGACTGGGTCAGAGCAACTCCAGAACTGCAGCTTTTGTGGGATGTTCCCAGTCTGCAGTGGGCAGGATCTACCAAAAGTGATCCAAGAAAGGAAAACCAGTGAACCGGAGACAAGGTCATGGGCAGCCAAGCCTCATTGATGCTTGTGGGGAGCGAAGCTTGGCTCGTGTATTCCAGGCCAATAGAAAAGCTACTGTAGTGCAAATTGCTGAAAAAGTTAATGCTGCTTCCGATAGAAAAAGGTGTCTTGAGCACACAGAGCATCAGTTTGTTGCATATGGGGCTGCATAGCCGCAGAAAGGTCGGGGTGCCCATGCTGGCCAATGTCCACCAGTAAAAGCACCTTCAATGGGCTTGTGAGAATCAGAACTGGACCACGGAGCAATAGAAGAAGGTGGCCTTATCTGATGAATCACATTTTCTTATACATTGTCTGTCTGTCGCTTGACTGGGGAAGAGATGGCAACAGGATGCACTATTGGAAGAAGCCAAGCCAGCGGAGGCAGTGTGAAGCTTTGGGAAATGTTCTGCATGGAAACTTTGGGTCCTGCCATTCATTTGGCTGTTATTTTCACACGTACCAGTTATCTATACATGTATGTGTCTGTCTCTCTCTATCTCATTTCTCTAACCAATAAAAAAAAAAAAAAATCAGTTATTGCCAGTTTTCGGATAGTGGGTAGAGTAATGGTGATTGCCTCCTACTCCCTGCAGAACTGCTGGTTTATAGTACAAGTGAGGCTTTACTATAGAGCCATAATATAGAGCCAATTAGCCAAATTCCTTACAGCAGCTTGTTAGGCTACAACAGTGCAGGATATGAAAACCAATGCAGGTGTTGGGGTAGGGCTTGAAGACCAACAATGCAGTACAGTAGTCAGGTAATTGTAAGTTGGGCCAATAGAAACCACAATATAATATTGGGTAGTACAGCGGTGCCTTTGAACAGAACATGTGTACTTCTTGGTCTACGTCACTGTAAAATCATGGTTACGCAAGTCAGGTGATAACCTGGGGCCATCTGCACATAAAGTGGTCTCCAAGAAGTCTGTTCCAAAAAGCATAATTTTTTAGAATTCACAGCAGATGAAAGGAAAGTCAGAACGGTGTACGTAAAGTATTATGTTCATTGCTGGCTCACAGTCTGCCTACGTCTGACCGCTTTCCGTTTCCTCAAACACACATAGTCGGGTCCACCTGAATGTGTTCCAGGGACGTTGGCAGGGAATGTTTGGAATGGGGATGTATGGACTGGGAGGCAGTGATGTTTCTACATGTTTATCGCATCACTTTTCTCTCTCCCAGTAAATCTTCATACAGCTGGATTTAATGTTCTGTGCAAGGCTGAGCCGGATATGTGGGACATACTTGACATTTTTTGGTGGGGGTTGCGGGAGAGTACACAAGCACACTAAAGTTTGCAGTGCAGGCAGAGATTGGGCCTTCCGACGTAATGTTGGTTGGACTGTTTTACATGGAAAATTAGGTTTAAATACTTTGCAATTTTCACTCCTGGAGTCATACTCACTGAGTATGACTCCAGAGCCGGTAATTTAGCCAGGAGTCAGAAAGTGGCATATTTCATATGCGGATGTGGCTGCCTGTAGATTTGTGCATACACATTGGGACTGATTTTATAAACCTTCCGCCCAGCGTATAGCTGGGGTAATGCTGCTCACACAGCACTAACACCACTAGATTTGTAGAATGTCCTATGGACATCTCCATCTTTTGGCGCTAGGGCCATGTACACGGCATTAGTTTTAGATAGCGTCCCTATTCTCTCCATTTTCAGCTTTCGAAAATCAGCTTGATGGGTTTTCAGTGCCAGAAATGTCATCACGCAGATCCTACCACCTTTTCTTTTTTAGGGTATGGCATGTATACTAACATACTAAATGAATAGACCCTTCACCTCAACATAACAACCCTTTTAATTGAGCTCTAGAAATGAAGCCTTCACCTAAGTTTTAGCCTGAAACAACTACATGTTCAACTACCAATTCTTTTCCTCTAGCACTTGGCGGATGCAGGGCTTTTATGTAGCTGATATATAAAGGTTTCACCTAGCATATAGTTGGGCAAACACTGTTCACATTTTGCTACTGCCACAAGATAGTACCGAGGAGCATAGGAATTCCATGCAATTGGCATTTGGCCAGCTTAGTATAGCCCCCTTTTTTCTTTATCAGTGTTTACTATTTCAGATGGTTAATTTACACTTTGCATCAACCTAAATGTTATCTGCAGCATTCGTACCACGGCAGGCTACCTGGACTTTATTTGACTTCTTAAAGCAGCCCCCTCTTCCTGTAATACACATTGCACTGGGATCTCTGCTGCATCGACTTTGAGCAAAACCTTAGAGACAAACGCCAAAAATATAATGTTTGTTAGGCCCCGTTCACACTGAGCGATTTATCGCGCGGTAATTCCCGCGATTTTGCTCTCCAATGCTTGGCAATGGGGCAAAGGGTCCTGCTGTCGCGGGTCGTGCGTCGCTACAGCAGGACCCTTTTTGGAGCAGATTTTGCCGCGATTCAATGCTTTTCAATGCAAGCATTTGCGTGATAATTTGCACAATGGGGCCTTAATGTGGCAAATTTTCACCTTTTCTGAATCTGTCCAATCTAAAACCTATGATCCAATTTATATGGCCGTAAGGCCTTGCACAGTGTGGCCGTTCAGATCATTAAATCATTTGAGACCTGTATGATGACTGGATGTATTGGGAGATTGGATATTCCGTTATTCCCCTATAATGTAACCGTGGGTGGGAGACCGTCAGGTGGGAGAGTCAGTGCAGTGTGTGCATAGGCTGCCTTTGCAAATGACGATTTTGGTCAGGTTGACAGCCAGACAATTAAGTATACAGATAAGCGTTTCAACTCATCTCTGGCTTTGCTAATTTGCTTACTTAATGCTAGCCAATGATGAGGAAAGTATTGAAGCAAGAGAGTTGGCATAACAACTAGCATTTTCTAACGTCATCAATGGCGACCTCCCTTTTTTTTCTTCCCTTTTAATGACCTGTCTCGGTAATTGCTTTGTTTAGAAGGACCTCCGTCTACTGGCTGCAGTGATGTATTTGTGGAGGAGTTGTCTTTTTAATGTTCTCTCGCTTGTCTCCACAGCGCCTTGCCTACGAATGCCTCTCTCAGAGCTATGACAGCGCCAAGCACTCCCCCACTCTTGTGCCTACAGCCACCAAACCAGATGCCGTCCAGACAGAGAGCCTGCCTTATACCCAGTATCTGAGCATGATCAAGTCCCAGATTGCCTGCGCTAAAGACATTCACAATGCCCTGTTGGAATGTTCCAAAAAGATTATGGGTAAAACGCCCCCTACCCAGGGTGTTCTATGATCTGCCTGAGTTGCCCATCAGCCCACGGGTTCTCAAAACTTTGCTGCCACAAGACGGATGAACGAGGTGTATATCAGCATTAAATAGCAAAAGATCTTCAGCCTGGAGGTGTAGCCGATGACTCAAACCTTCAATGTCCTTGTCGCTGCACTTGTTCTGTGCTTGGCCTCGTATGGTTTGAAGTGGATGTACTTTTTGACTGCCCACTTTTGATTAGACATCTGGAGCGCTTCGGGGGACGGACTTGTAAGTCGTTGCTTTTTGAGTGGAACGATCATCTTTGTTAGAATGCAAATCTCTGGCTTTTGAGGTATTGCAAGTCCAGTCATGCCCCTCCATCCTCTGGCAGAGGTATTTAACCCATTTTCTATCCTGTGTATTTGATTCTTTAATTTAAGGAAATAAAAAAATTTGTGTGTTTTGATATCTGCCTCATCTGCAAGCGTATAACCAACTAATAGTATGTTGCAACAAGCATTAAGGTGTATCAACCCTTGGGAACCAATCCGAAAGCAAAATTAATTAGACTTCTCACAGAAAGAATAAGTAGGTCAATGATGTGTAAATGGGCTCCTAGCCTCAATGCCTTCTGGGTCAGAAATCAATGCAAATCAGGAGTTGTAGTTTCACTTGCTTGGGTTACTCAATGTATTAATGGAAGATTAATGGGACAGATAATAACTGGATGGCAGTCTGTTTCTCATTACCAGTGCTCTTATCCTTCTCGGAACACCTTCCCTACTCATGTGTTTTTGAAATAGAACTTCCCTGGCCATCTGCTTTCTTTTCCCCCCAGCTCACACGTGGCCCACTCTTCTTTCACTTCAACAGCAGGCTCAACCAAAGAGCTGCAATGTGGCACCAGACAGACCGCAAAACGAGACTATGCCAGGAGCACCCTTTTAGGTACGCCTGTACTATTACAAAAATTCTAGGGGTGAGGGGAGCCCAGATAAGGAGATAGTGTACGGATCCTAAGGCTGGGTTCACACCTAGGCGTATCGAATATGCACATGTGACGTGTGTTTTTACCGTGTTACTGCGTTTCCGAGGGCTACTTGGCTGTATCCTAATGGAAACGCGCGACAAAAATGCCCCAAAGAAGCTCCTGTACTTCTTTGGGCGTAGGGCGTTTTTGTAGCGCGTTTATACGGCCTGTCATACGCCCAGGTGTGAACCATACCCATAGGAAATAATGGGATTTCGGTGTTTGAGCGTTTTGCAGAGCTTTTCGAACGCACTACAAAACGCCCGGGTGTGAACCAGGCCTTAAAGTATACTGCAATCAAATAGGAACATTAAGGAGCCGATTCAAAAGCGGCGTTCTGGCTTTACTGTGGCAATACCACTGCTTTACAGAAATGTCCATTTATAAAGTGCAATAGGACTAAATAAAAGCTCTTTGGGGGGTGGGGGAACAAAATGCTGGGAGGAGAGGCGCCGGGCAATGTGACATATCAATGTCTAATTCTCCTGCAATCTCAGAGCTAAACAACTATCCGGGGAATCGCATTCTCTACACCAGGGGTAGCAAACCTCCGGCCCTCCAGCTGTGGTGAAACTACAAATCCCATGATGCATCTCTCTTCGGGAGTCGTGGCTGTGAGAATATTGCAATGCCTCATGGGATTTGTAGTTCCACCACAGCTGGAGGGCCGGAGTTTTGCTACCCCTGCTCTACACTGGACTGCATGTTGTCAATGGGCTAAAAAATGTGGGCCGCTGTGTGGATTTGCACTGTCGACTATAACGGAGAGTGGAATAGTGATATCTGCTCTCGGTTACAAATGAGCCCCTTAATGCTTAAACACATAGGTGGGAATTTATCAAAACCCTGGAGCACCTGTGTATGGCAACCAATCAGTTTCTCTCTTCAGTTCAGATAAGATTGGAAAATGAGAGAAAGATGCTGATTGGTTGCCATGCACAGCTTCTCCAGTGTTTGTCTGCTCCAGTTTTAATAAATTTCCCTTCATAGAGTATTTCTTGCGTACACTAGATCACCCTGCTGTGTAAAATGTTCCAGTTCCTAGTAACATGGCATTCTGAGACTCCATGTTACCAAGCCTTTTGAATTTGCAGAGAGCCTGACACATCTATTGGACACACCCGGAATGCAAACTGGTGACACATCCTTAATCTGCATGCTTACAAATGGAAGTATGCATGGCTCACGATCACCCCATTCTAGTAATACATAACTGATCTCAATAGATAGGCTTCTGGCCTACTGCCACTGCAGCCCTCTGGGAGATGTGGTGCTACAAGAGAACATCCCCCTGTTCAAGCTTGGCTTTAAGAGATTATGGAACAATTAAATAAAAATCAAAGTAAATCGAATGTTCTTTTTCATCTGGAACAAGCACGCAGATTGAGTTCTGACTTAATTTTTTCCCACTGTTTATAAATAGATGAAAAATTAAAGTTACCCCTCCAGTGTCTGTCCTATGATCACACTTTTACCACCACAGTTCAAGTCATTTCATCCAATTCAAGCCTTGCTGGAATCAATATTGAAGGAAATCTGTCATGAATGACAAGTAGGCTGCTATTGTTCTAAATGTGCCGCTCGCCTTCTCGTGATCATCCTTTGCTTTCCTTCTCACTGACTAAGAAAACAAGGATTGCAGGGCAGCTAGCATTTGTACAGGGAGGCTGTCATTGTCCATATGTATTGGTTTCATGACATATTTGCCTTTTTGAAGGTATACACACCTCTCAAATGCTGTTGGGCATCATATGTGGGGGGGGGGTTCTATGAAAATGAACCTGGAGTGACACTAAGGTTTAAAAGCTGCCACTGCAAGCACATCTGCTCCTTTTGGTGCCAGCACATCAACCCAGCTTGGTTATGGGCCAAGTATGTGTGTCTAGAAGTGCAAGGATATTCTGGTATGCCAATATCTACCAGCTTTACTGACCTGAGAACCTGCCCCTTCCCATACTCTACAGTGCTATTGGCCCATCACAAGGGACGCCTCACTGACCAGTAAAGAAAATCAGTCATTTTAAGGAATGCACATATGGTCATGCTTTACCCCAACCCGTTTCCTCCCTGTTGACTATAAAGTGTGATGGATGCTACAACTAATGATTATTTTCATAATCGGTTAGTTGGCCAATTTATTTTTTCGATCAATTTATTGGATAAAAAAATTAAATAGCATCCTTAACTTAAAATAAAATACAGTGTTAGAAATATAAAGTTTTCTTCAGAATAAAACTGCATGCACAATTTTTTGCAATTGCACTGCACTGGAATGCTCAGTATTGCGGTACCGTGTGTTCCAGTGCGGGTGATCACACTGTGGGTGGGAGGCAGTTTGGGGTGCCATTGAAATGAATGGTACTGCAACGCACCTCCCGTAGCAGAATTTGTCAGGCCAAAACCAAAAATTACTTTTTTTTTCCCCTCTCCCCACCTTTTTTCTTTTTATAAGCACATGGTGCTTGATTAGCTTCAGCCAGGGAATGACGGATGCCAGTGGCAAGATTTCACAGACGGCAGCTGAATGTAAATACAGCAGGTAGTGGGCTGGTGCAATAGCTAGCCTGCTATTGGCCATTTCAAATTGCACCTGCCCACTGCTTGCTGTGTCCTCCTCCCAGCATGGAGGAGAGAGCTAGGGGATCCAACCAACTAATTGATAATGCAAATAGTTGACAACTATTCTCATTATCGATTAGTTGGTTGCAGCCCTCATGTCCTCGGGCAGTTTGCACCTAAAAAAGCTATGGACACAAACTACAACAATCCAGGTTTTGGTGCTTTCGGAACTAAACTGAACATATATAGATGCCTGTAGTCAACTCCAGTGGTCCTATACGATTTAACAGACCTACAGCCACACTTTAATTTCCTTTTAATGTCAGAAATCCTTTTCACCATGCTTGCTTTGGGTCAGTAGATCACAATATTGAGTCAGAGGGCCAGCCAGCATAAGAGTCGGGCAACTTGCATTTTCTGAAAAAGGTCACTAATGGCAGCCTTCATGGTTCTCTTATGACTGCTTTACTTTATTCATGGCCTACCTACATTGTGTATTGCTGTCATGCTAACATATTTCGGGCACTTAAAGCTTGGCATTGCCATAACACCACAGCCACCAGATCTAACAGTGATGGCCCCCCCCACTGGCCATATACGGTGACAAGGTTAGGAAATCACAGACGTGGCTGAACGAAAATGCGTGAAGCTCAGGAATCTAAAACAGTGTGTATATATTTATGTATGTTGATGAAGTATTTAGCAGTTAGTTCTGCTTTAGAAATAATGCTGTGCCTGGTATTCTCTGGAATGTAAAATGTTAACCGGGTTACTGTGCATACAATACGACTGTCCTGAAAAGGGGAACTAGGAATAGAACAAGAACTTTCTTCAGCGTTCAGAAAAATCCCCGTTCTATGATGCAAATGCTAACAGTTCTGCGTATGATTTAGAAGCTGCATAATGGACAACAGGCTGTTTGTCCTCTGGCCACCCACTCTATCACATCTGGCTGTCTATAAATATCCAGCTTAGTGAACTGAATCAGAAACGTTGCTAAGTGTATAACTGGCAGAAGGCTGTTCTTGGCCTGTTCATCTCGGAGATCTGTAGACAGAACTGGGGAGCAGCGCTGTATTAAGCCGTGTCAGATTTCAGGATCATGAGATCTTCATGGGCCTTTTCCATGTGTAGGCTGCTTGTGTCATGCTAGGTCTCTAGCATTCAGAACTTCAGAAAAGTAGGCCAAGCATGACACCACAGCAACTAGATTCTTTAGAAGGTAGTCAACAGTACCAGCTTACTGTTTGTGTTTTGCGCATTATGGGTTTCCTTAAAGAAGATCTGAAGCCTGAAAGCTGTGCCCAAAAAAAAGCAAAGGCAAGACCAGTAGTGCCTTGGGTCTCCCTATAGCTGATCCCCCATTACTGGCCAACCATGGCTTATCCAGCACTGTCTCTGGGTGGAGGTGGCCATCTTGGTAGAGGCAGTGCTTTGCTTCCTCATGTCAGAGCTGCCCACCTGATGGCTGGTGATCTGATGATTCGTAAAGAATATACAAGAAGTATAGATCCACAGAATGAATGAGGAGGAAGCAGGGAGATCCTTGCACTGCAGGTCCCCAGGCACAGCTTCCTCTCC